GATTCTCGTGACTCAGCCTCTTAAGTAGCTGTGATTAAAGGCATGCGCCATCATGCCCAGCTAACTTTTGTAATTTTAGTAGAGATGGGATTTCACCATGTTAGCCAGGCTGGTCTCGAACTCCTGACCTCAAGTAATCCACCTGCCTCAGCCTCCCAAAGTGCTGGGATTGCAGGCATGAGCCACTGTGCCCTGCCATCTGTGTGATTTTTGTGAGCAGAAAAAACTGATCAACAAATATTTGAAAAGGAAACCTTTGGTCTACAAGGAGGAAACGGATACTTTCGCCTTTTTGTTGTTGTAGTTGTTGTTGGAGACAGAGTTTCGCTCTTGTTGCCCAGGCTAGAGTGCAATGGCACGATCTCGGCTCACTGCAACCTGTTCCTCCTGGGTTCAAGCGATTCTCCTGCCTCAGCCTCCCAAGTAGCTGGGATTAGAGGCACACACCACCATGCCCGGCTACTTTTGTATTTTTAGTAGAGATGGAGTTTCTCCATATTGGTCAGGCTGGTCTCAAACTCCCGACCTCAGGTGATTCACCCGCCTCAGCCTCCCAATGTACTGGGATTACAGGTGTAAGTCACCGCACCCCACCACTTTTGCCTTTTGATTGGTTTAGTGGATCATAATTATTTTTTTCCTTATAGTCAAAACTCAGCCATCTTTGTATGTGTATTTTTTTCCTTTCCTCGAGTTTTCTAAGTTTAGCAAGTCACTCCTGTCAGAGGTTTAAAGAGTGTTAATAAGTGAACTCTCATTACTCCTAGCCCTGCTGGGATTAGACTTGCCATCTCTGAGTGAAATCAAGAGTTTAATGTTGGGCATGGGGTGTGCTGCTCAGTTCTCTCAACAACCCTAGGAGGGAAGGTGTCATTACTACCCCATTTTCCACATGGAGAAACAGGCCCAGAGCGGTCTGGTCACTTTTCTAAGGAGAGTCAGCAGACAGTGGCTGGCTTTGAACCCAGGGCTGAATGGTTCCAGGGGCTGTGTCCCTGACCGCTAACCCAGGGGGCTCCAGGCTGACCGCCCCCTCAGCCAACGGCTGAGAGGGGAAAGTTCCTTTTGAGAAGCTGGCGAAACGTCCTGGAAATGTTCAGAGGCAGCCAGAGTGGAAAAAGATGCTCAAAGGGAACAGAACTTCTCAAAGGGGTGGAGGCTGCCCTGCCATGGGTGACACGTGGAAAACTTGAGACATGTGACATCCAGGCGGTTAGTGGGAGAATTGGTCATGCTCTTTGGCAAATTGCTCCCTCCTCCTCCCTCCTTCTCCCCGCTCCTCCAAACTCTACCCTGGGAGGGAGCACTTGGGACCACCTCAGAAGAGGCTTGGTGGTGGTGACCCAGTCCTAAATGTCTGCCCAGACTTGCAGACTGCAAAGAGCAGGAGCTCTTCCTTCAGCCTCAGGAGCACTGGGGTCCACAGAGCCCCTCTAGTCACTGTTTTTAAGCCCCTGGTCTCAGGCTGCCCCTCCCTCAGGCCTCCTGAGCTTAGGCACATCAGCCACACCCTTGGCACAGCCACGGGATGATGGGTGTGATGTGGGCATCCCTCGTGTTGGCATCCTGGACTGATATCCAGGGCACTGCTTTCTCCCCATCCTCCTGCCTCTCCTGATGCCCCTCCTCGAAACTCCTTGGCCCCCATCCTGCCCTCAGAATCACCACCTGTGACTCAGGCACACCAATCCCTGGGCCTCTTCCTCCACTGGGGGACCCACCTGAAGGGCCTGACCCAGCCACGGGAAGAAGGACGAGGAGCGCTCCCAGCTTTGCCCCATCACGCTGCCTGGGCCCCAGGTGGCCAGCGCGTGGGGAGGATGGGCCCACAGGACCGGAGCCCCTGGGGGTGGGCTCCCACCAACAGAAACGCACTGAGTCTCCTCCCCGGGAAGATCTGATCATGGGCCAGAGGGCTGAGGACCCTGTGCCACTCACCCTGGCATCCATCCTTCATTCATTCCCTCATTCTCCAACACGCCCTCTTCCGGCACTGGCCATGGGCCTGGCCCTGCCCCAGCCCTGCCTCAGGGGCAGTTGCAACCCAGTTGATTGGAGGAGGTGGAGTGGGAGAGGAGTGGAGAGAGGCCCCTAACTCAGCTCTCAGGCAGTCGGGACAGGCTTTCTGGAGGAGCTGAAGTCCGGCAGAACCTTGTAGTCAAGTGAATCACCTGGGCTGTGTCCAGAGCCCGACTGAGCTGAGGGCACGATTCACAGGCAGAGGGGGATGGGCATGGAGCAACTTCCCCTTCAGCCTCCCTTCATAAGAACTGGGGGGAAAAGGGTGCTGCTGAGCTCCTACCCCAAGGGAGTGGGGTCGAGAGAGTGTGGCTGGCCAGAGCCGGGCAGATGTGGTTGGGGATGGTGGTGCCAGGCAGGGGCATGCAAGGGAAACAGCTGAATGGATTCCACCAAGAGGGCCAGGGCCCAGCCAGGCCCCGCGGGGTACTGCTCATGCTGCTGGCCCCCGCCTCGCATGTCCCCCAGCCCTTGCATGCTTTTGCCTGTGTTTCCTGCATGTCCTCTGGTGTGACTGCTGGTTTCCCCCGAACCCCCTCCCCAGCTCTGACAAGCAGCATTGCCTGTCCCCAGCCTGACTCAGGAGGCCAACTGGCACCTTGGGCCCTGTCCTCCCCCGATTCCTCCTGGATAGGAATCCGGAGGCTGTCCCCTGCCCGATTCCCCATCTAGCTGTCCCTCCACATCTTTAGGAAGGCACGGGGTGGCCCTGAGGATGGGGGAACACCTTGGGAGCTAATGGTCCCAAGGTCTCGACCTAACCAGTCAGTGAGGCAGCCTCATTCCCATGGCCTTTCTCCCACGGGAACCACCCCTTTGCCCTGAAGTTGCCCAGGTAGGCCAGTGAAGAGGGCCTGGAAGCAGGAAGACCCTTGAATTGACATTTGGAACCCACACTTGGGGGAAAGGGGTGGCCGTGGCTTGGTGCCATCAGCGTCCTGGGACCCCAGGTCTCTCTTCCCCGCGTCGTGGGCGTTCTGTGTGTGCCTCCCACCCTGCGCCGCGGATCCCTGGACTCGTGGGGTGTGGGTGCTCCCTACCCATGCCCCCTGTGTACGTGGCTTTCTGCCCTCCTGCCCTTCCCCAGCTCCAGCAGTACCCGCGGCTGCGGGAGGAGATGGAGCGCATCGTGACCACCCACATCCGGGAGCGCGAGGGCCGCACCAAGGAGCAGGTGAGCCCCGTGGCACCCGGCCTGGCCGCACCTTCCTTCCCCTCCTGGCCGCCTGCACCTTCCACTCCTGGCCCTGGGGTCGCTTCCTTCTCGTGTTGTCTCTTCGGTCTCAGTCTTCCTCCCTTTCATACTGACTCTCTGCTTCTCTCTCTTTTTTATTGTAGTAAAATACACATAACATACCACTTTAGCCGTGTTTCAGTGCACAGTTCAGTGGCACTAAGTACATTTGCGTTGTTGCACAGCATCATCCATCCACAGAACTCTTTGTTTTGAGACAGAGTCTTGCTCTATCTCCCAGGCTGGAGTGCAGTGGTGTGATCTCAGCTCACTGCAACCTCCGCTTCCTGGGTTCAAGCGATTCTCTTGCCTCAACCTCCCGAGTAGCTGGGAGGCTACTGGGAGGTGGCGTGTGCCACCATGCCTGGGACATTTTTGTATTTTTAGTACAGACGGGGTTTCACCATGTTGGCCAGGCTGGTTTCAAACTCCTGACCTCAGATGATCCGCCCACCTTGGCCTCCCAAAGTGCTGGGATTATAGACATGAGCCACTGAGCCCGGCCCACAGAGCTCTTTTCATCTTGCAAAATGGAAACTGTCCCCATGAAACACTAACATCCTATTCCCTGCTCCCCCAGCTCCCGGCAGCTGGCAGCCACCATTCAACTTTCTGTCTCTATGAATTGGTTTTTTTGTTTTTTTGTTTGTTTGTTTGTTTGTTTGTTTTGAGACAGAGCCTCGCTGTTGCCCAGGCTGGAGTACAGTGGCATGAAATCGGTTCACTGCAACCTCCGCTTCCTGAGTTCGAGCGATTCTCCTGCCTCAGCCTCCCAAGTAGCTGGGATTACAGGCATGTGCCACCATACCCGGCTTATTTTTTATATTTTTGGTAGAGATGGGGTTTCACCATGTTGGCCAGGCTGGTCTCAAACTCTTGATCTCAAGTGATCCACCCGCGTTGGCCTCCCAAAGTACTGAGATTACAGGCGTGAGCCACCGTGCCTGGCCTGTCTCTATGAATTTGACTTTTCTAGGGACCTCATGTAAGTGGAGTCATACAGTATCTGTCACTTAGCATAATGTCTTCCAGGGTCATCCATATTGTAGCATGTGTCAAAAGCTGCTTCCTTTTTAAGACTTAAATAATACTACATTGTATGGATGGACCACACTTGGTTTATCCATGTGGGTTGTTTCTAACTTTTGGCCATTGTGCATCACGCTGCTATGAAGATGAGTGTACAAATCCCTATCTGAGTCCCCACTTTCAACCCTTCTGGATATATACCTAAAAGTGGAAGTGCTGGGCCATAGGGTAATTCTATGCTTATTTTTTTGGAGACAGAGTACCGCTCTGTCGCCCCTGCTAGGCTGGAGTGCAGTGGCATGATCATGGTTCACTGTAGCCTCAACCTCCCGGGCTCAAGCGATCCTCCGACTTCAGCCTCCTGAGTAGCTGGGGCTACAGGTGCATGCCACTATGCCTGGCTAATTTTAAAATCTTTTGTAGAGACGGGGGTCTCACTATGGTGCCCAGGATGGTCTCAGACTTCTGGGCTCAAGCGATCTGCCTCAGCCTCCCAAAGTGCTGGGATTACAGGCATGAGCCACGGTGCCCAGGCTAGTGTGGCTCTCTTCACTTTCTGGTCGTCTATCCTTGTGGTCCTCTCTTTGGGCCTCTCTTTGTCTATTTGCTGGTTCTCTGGGTCACATTATACCCCTCATAGCGACCCCCACCTTTTTTGTCATCGTTCATCAAATATTCACTCATTTCTTCCTTCAATCACAAACATAGCCACTGAATGCTACCTCTGAGCTGCATGGAGCAGAGGTGAACAGGGCCCATCGTGGCCCTCACGGAGCTCAGAGACGAGTCCTCCTTTCTGATCCATGTCTGCCATGCCCCTGCCTGTCTGTTGTAGGCTCCTCTGGCTCCCATTTCCCATTTCCTGTTTTCACACATCTCTCCATGATGGTGCCATCTCCATTCATTCATGTTTTTGTTGTTGATGTCATATTTTTAAATCCTTATTGATTGCTTTTTAATTACAAACATCATAAATACTCAATAAAAGATTCAATCAGTATTGAAGTGGTTAAATTACAAGGAGATAGCTCTCCATTCACTCTTCCCCACCCCCAGTTCCTCCTGAAAAATAACCATTAGTAACAGTTTGGGACTCCACACAGTGGCTTATACCTGTAATCCCAGCACTTTGGGAGGCCTAGGTGGGAGGATTATATGAGCCCAGGAGTTTGAGACCAGCCAGGGCAACATGGCAAGACCCCGTCTCTACAAAAAAATTTAAAAACTAGCTAGGTGAGGCAGCATGCACCTGAATTCCTAGCTACATGGGAGGCTGAGGTGGGAGGATCGCTTGAGCCCGGGAAGCAGAGGCTGCCGTGAGCTGTGATCATGCCACTGCATTCCAGCATGGGCAACACAGTGAGACTCTGCCTCAGTAATACCCCAAAAAGCAAAACAGGGCCGGGCGCGGTGGCTCAAGCCTGTAATCCCAGCACTTTGGGAGGCCGAGATGGGCGGATCACAGAGTCAGGAGATTGAGAGCATCCTGGCTAACCCGGTGAAACCCTGTCTCTACTAAAAAAATACAAAAAACTAGCCGGGCGAGGTGGCGGGCGCCTGTAGTCCCAGCTACTTGGGAGGCTGAGGCAGGAGAATGGCGTAAACCTGGGAGGCGGAGCTTGCAGTGAGCTGAGATTCGGCCACTGCACTCCAGCCTGGGCAACTGAGCAAGACTCCATCTCAAAAAAAAAAAAAAAAAAGGCAAAACAGTTTAGTGTGTCACCTTGCAGGCATTTTCTTACGCAGATACACTCACACACAAACACACACAATCCAGATTCCATCTTTATCCTAAACCACAATCCTGCTGTGTGCCTTGCCTTTTTCTTCAGAAGATAATCGTAATATCTAACATCTGTTGAGTATCTCATCTTCTGTGTCTTCACCAGTTCTAAGAGGAAGAAAGAAGAAGAATTTGTGGAATCTGAGGCTGAGGACAGACCCCAAGCTCATAGGAAGCAGTGGGGCTAGGGTCTGAACCTGGCATTCTTTGTGCCATCTGGAAAGTCATTCTTATCACTACTCAATTCCAAATCTGTTCACACTTAATCATTTGCAAGGGTCTTTTCAGGCTGGAACCTGGAGATTATCCTTGTTCTTTTTTTTTTTTTTTTTTTTTTTTTCTTTTTTTTTTGAGATGGAGTCTCGCTCAGTTGCCCAGGCTGGAGTGCAGTGGCTTGATCTCAGCTCACTGCAACCTCCGCCTCCCAGGTTCAAGCCATTCTCCTGCCTCAGCCTCCCAATTAGCTAGGACCACAGGTGCACGCCACCACACACAGCTGATTTTTGTATTTTTGTAGAGACAGGGTTTCACCATGTTGGCCAGGCTGGTCTTGAACTTGTGACCTCAAGAGATCTGCCTGCCTCGGCCTCCCAAAGTGCTGGGATCACAGGCGTGAGCCGCCCCGCCCGGCCCGTCCTTGTTCTTTTGAACAGCTGCAGGGTGCTTTCTTGTCTAGAGAGTATCATAATCTATTTCACCCTCAGATAGCCACTGGCTTGCTCCCAATTTTTCTCTATTACAAACTGTACTACTTTGAATACTCTGGCTCCTGTATCTTTGCTTACTTGTTGAGTGTATCTGTGAGATATAATTCTGGAAGTGAATATGTGCATTGCTTTTTTTTTTTTTTTTGAAATAGGGTCTCGCTCTGACACCCAGGCTGGAGTGCAGTGGTGCCATTATGGCTCACTGCAACCTCTGCATCCCTGGGCTCCAGTGATCCTCCCATCTCAGCTTCCCAAGTAGCTGGGACCACAGGCATTCACCACTACACCTGGTTAATTTTTCTATTTTTTGTAGAGACAGGGTTTCTCCATGTTTCCCAAGTTGGTCTTGAATTCCTAGGTTCAAGCGATCCTCCTGCCTCAGCCTCCCAAAGTGCTGGGATTATGGGCATGAGCCACTACACCCAGCCCTGTGCATTTTAATGTTTGTTAAATATTGCCAAATTGCCCTACAAGAAGGTGATACTGATTTACACTTCCATCAACAATATATGAGAGAGCTCATTTCCCAACACTTGTGCCATGCTGATCATTAAAAAAACCTCTTTTTGTTTGTTTGTTTGTTTGTGACGAAGTTTCACTCTTGTTGCCCAGGCTGGAGTGCAGTAGCATTATCTCAGCTCACTGCAACCTCTGCCTCCTGGGTTCAAGTGATTCCCCTGCCTCAGCCTCCCAAGTAGCTGGGATTACAGGCATGTGCCACCATGCCCAACTAATTTTGTATTTTTAGTAGAGACGGGATTTCTCCATGTTGGCCAGGCTGATCTCAAACTCCCGACCTCAGGTGATCTGCCCACCTCGGCCTCCCAAAGTGCTGGGATTACAGGTGTGAGCCACCGCACCTGGCTAAAAGCCTCATTTTTAACTTACATTTCTTTATTAATGAGGGTAAGGATTTTTTACACATCCTTAGTGGTTGTATGCATTTCTTCTGTGAATTATTCATCATGTTCTTGACTATTTTGATTTGTGATTTTCTTTCTTTCATCCTCTTCTCTCCTCTCTTATTTTCTTTTCTTTTCTCTCAGGGTTTTGCTCTGTCTTCTAGGCTTGAGTGCAGTGGTGCAATCTTGGCTCACTGCAGCCTCAACTTCCTGGGCTCAATCAATCCTCCCGCCTTAGCCTCCCAAGCAGCTGGGACTACAGGCACATGCCACTACGCCTGGCTAACTTTTGTGTTTTTTGGTAGAGACAGGTCTCCCTGTGTTGCCCAGGCTGGTCTTGAACTCCTAGGCTCAAGCAGTCCTCCCACTTCTACCTCCCAAAGTGCCGGGATTACAGGTGTGAGCCACCACGCTTAGCTTTTGTCTTTCACTGATGGTAGGGACTATATTTATTATGGATACTAACCTTCTATATGTGCTGCAAGTATTTTTCTCCCCGCTTGCCCTGCGTTTTAAAACTTTGTGGTGTCTTTTCCGCTTGCCCACCAACTTACGTATCCTTGAAGGTCATGCTTCTCATCGATATCGAGCTGGCTTACATGAACACCAACCATGAGGACTTCATAGGCTTTGCCAAGTGAGTGCTCTCCCTGGGCAAAAAGTGAGTGCTCCCTGGGCAGAGAAGGTAATAACGTGTGTGTATGTGTGTGTATGTGTGTGTGTGTGTATGTGTGTGTGTATGTGTTTGTGTGTGAGTGAGTGAGTGTGTGTAGAGCCCAGGTCTGCTAGGTTAACGGTCTGGGTCCTGTGCCCACTAAGCAGTGGGATGTAGAGTTGGGCCTCTTGAAAGGAGAAGTTCTGAGACTCCTCCCCTCCCTCCCATTAGTGCTCAGCAGAGGAGTAACCAGATGAACAAGAAGAAGACTTCAGGGAACCAGGTGAGTGGGCCCCAGCACCCCAGACCGAGGGATGGAGGGTGCCAGACGGACGCCAGACTCTGAGAGCTCCTCCCCTGAGGGGAAGAGTCCCAAGGGGGCCAGGGACCTGTCAGCCGCCAGCCACAAGCCTCCCACTCTGCCTCAGTAACCCTCTCTCCTCTCTCCCCGATGCCTCTCGTGGTTGCTATGGTTACCTCTTTGCAGGATGAGATTCTGGTGAGTACCAGGACTGGGGCTCTCGGCTTGTGTAGTGAGGGGGCGGAGGGTCCATTGGCAGTGGGAATCTGCAGTGGGTAGGAGGGCACCCTTTGGCCGAAGCTGCTTGTACACACCAGCCCCTGGCATTTCACACCTGCCCTCAGACCAGAGGCAGGCCCAGCCGCATCCACCCGTCCATCTGTGTGCACCAGCCAAGCACCTACGTCAGGCAAAACTAGACCGTGTGGGGCTGGGTGGGTGAGAAGGCAGGGCCTGGCATGGAGTAGGTGCTCCTTAAACATCTGTTGGATGGATGGATGCACGTGAGTGAGACACGTTTTTAAGAAGCTGACAACCATCGCCTCCGGACTTGAATGAAGAGACGAATGAGAAGTCAAGAGAAGTTAAGAAATCACTGCTCACCTGGCCTCCTGCTCTCTGTCCTTAGATGTCTGCGGAAACATCCCTGGTCCGAAGCGCTTGCTCAGTTGTACACATGAGCCCGAGGGTCCTCAGCTTTTCTTTCCATAGGTTCCAGAGGCCGTAGTTTCTTTGTAAGACTCTAGGTGTTTATGTGATTATTGGCTTAATGTTTATTTCCTTCCCAGGCCCCACAAGGGGAGGGCTGAGTCTGTCCCGTTTATCATTAAATCCTCAGCTCAAGCCCCGTGCCTGGCACGCAGTAGGTGCTCAACAGAATGAAGGGAGGAATGAACATAGTATCAGGACAATTCAATTCGGCCAACATTAGCTGTTGCCTACACGGTGCTGGCCCCTGGACAGAACGTGGAGACCTGGGCCTGCTGGTAGGGCCCAGCTAAGGCCCCCGAGAGCTCCATGCAGGGTAGGGATTAGGAGAGCAGGAAGTCCCTGGTGCGGGGCTGCAGAGAGGGCTTAGGACGAGCAGAGAGGAGTTCAGGGTTGGGTGTGGCCAAAGGGGAGGACAAAGACTACAGGTTAGGGTGGGGAGCAGGTGGCAAGATCTGCTGGTCACATCCTGGGACAGTGGACTCAATTCCAGAGACGGTGACAAGACCCTGTGGGAATCCTCGCCTGATCGGAAAGGGGTGAGAGAGGCAGCTGGTGGCCTCCCCTCAGCTCAACTGCTGCTGGGCTGTGCAGCTTGGGTTCTCAGCCAGGTTCTCAGGGAAGCCAGAGAGGCATAAGGAGGGCTCCAGAAGCAAGCCTGGCCCCAGAGGGCTTTGCCACCAGCCCCAGGCCTCCTTGGGTCTTCTCTGGATGCTCAGAGAAGAATCTGGGGAGGCCAGGGTCCAGGAGGGAGCAGAAGCAATTCCCTCATCCTCCCGGTCTGATCCATGGCCAGCGCCTGGCCAATGACCCTACCCCCGAAGTAGAATCCACAGGACCTGGACTGTGGCCATGGCTCTGGACAGTCCTGGGGACAGCTGCTTCCTGCCATGAAAAGGGACCTTAGCTTGTTACTCTGGGCACTTCGTGGCGCAGCCCTTGCCCCTGGGGACCTGGAGCCAAAGACCCTTAGAACCATACTATCATAGTTTTTATTTATTCATACTACAAATATGTATTGATCACTTACTGTCTGCCAGGCCTTCTGCAAGGTGCTGGGATGTACTAGTGATCAAGAGTTCACGATTTAGCAGGGAGGCTACATAGACAGATAATCACACACACGCATGCAGAGAAGTTAATTAAAAATCGAAATCATGTTACAGAAGTCAACTTCAGGGAGTGATCAAAGATTATTATAGGAATCCTGATTTATACTGGGGGCCAGGAAGGGCCTGCCTGGGAATGTGAATTCTGACCTGATACCCGAAGGCTGAGTAGGAATTTGCCAGGCAAAAAGGGAGAAGTGCTTTCTAGGCAGAGGCAGCAGCAGCAGCAGCATGTGTAAAGTCAGAAACACATCTCAGAACAGATGAGACCTTAAGCTTCCAAGACTCACAGTTGGCTTGCCCAATCGCCCCCATTAACTGTGCTTGCATACTCCTAGTGACAGGGAGCTCATCCCCTACCCAGGCCTCCAGTCCCTTACTCGGCCAGGTCTGCCTGTCAAAGGCTCTTTATCCTGAGCTGATCTCTGTCTTCCTCTGTCTTCCACTCTGTTCACTTGTGGTTCAAACCAAGGCAGGTCTGGCCCCCACCCTCCCTGACTGCCAGGCCTCTGAGAGCTGGGGGAGGGGTGGGGTTCCGAATGCCTCTCTTTGCCTACCCCATCCCCCACAGGGAGGCTCAGGCCCCGTCTGCTGACCTCCTGCCCCATCACCCTCCAGGTCATCCGCAAAGGCTGGCTGACTATCAATAATATTGGCATCATGAAAGGGGGCTCCAAGGAGTACTGGTTTGTGCTGACCGCTGAGAATCTGTCCTGGTACAAGGATGATGAGGTGAGTCAAGGGCCAGTAGTCATCAAGGGGCTGGGCTGGTGGCCAGAGTCAGGCTCAGACCCTCCTATGGGCTTGGAGTGGGCTGGACCGTGGAATAGGGTTTTAAAATGTCTCATCAAAGATCCGTGGGCAGGCCGGGCATGGTGGCTCACACCTGTAATCCCAGCACTTTGGGAGGCCGAGGCGGGTGGATCACCTAAGGTCAGGAGTCTGAGCCCAGTCTGGCCAAAATGGTGAAACCCTGTCTCTACTAAAAATACAAAAATTAGCCTGGCATGTTGGCAGGTGCCTATAATCCCAGCTACTAGGGAGGCTGAGACACAAGAATGCCTTCAACCCGGGAGGCGGAGTTTGCAGTGAGCCGAGATCGCACCATTGCACTCCAGCCTGGGCAACAGAGCGAGACACCGTCTCAAAAAAAAAGGATCCACGGGTGGAGTTGGGATGCAAGGGTCCAAGGCAGGTGACCCTGGGGGTTCAGGGGGAGGCACCCTCTCACCCAGGTTGGAAGAAGAAGATGGCTTAGCAGGACTGAGGAGCCTGGGGCTAAGTGCCCTGGGGAGGGTGGGCAGGGGCCTTGGGTGCCCCTCCCTGACCCTGCGGCCCAGCGGCCTTCCTGTTTTCCCGCTGCAGGGCGTGCCGCCTCCTCTGTGGCCCCCACAGGCCCATGACACACACGAGTCCAGCTGCCAGACACCCGGTTAACCCCTGCACCCCAGTCCCCTAGACCCCTGCAGCCCAAGGGAAATGCGCAGAGTGCCCCCAGACTGAGAGGCAAGGAGTGTGGGGGCCCTGCCGAGTTGCCACAAAAAAACCCTCCCCGCCCACTAGGGTGCACAGAAGCCCCTGCCACCTCCTTCCCTGTTGCTGGTCTCCTTTAAGAATGAGTCTATTTGGCTTTCACATCTGGATTCCAGAGGTGACCAGAGAGAATGGGGAGGGCTGGGGGTGGGCTTGTGGTAATGAACTCCAGCTGGCCAAGGAGTGGGGGAAGGGACCCTCTTCTTCCTGAGGGGCTGTTGGAGGCTACAGCACCCTCAATGGGGGAGCGGGCCTCTGGGTGGGGCCTGTGATTTTGGCCTCCAAGCCCCCTCCCAGGTCCCTGTCTCCTCCAAGTTTGTCCTGGGCAGGGGCCCCAACTCTCCACCTTGGGAGGGGCCCTCTGTCGTCACTGGCGGGGGCCCAAGCCATCTGGACCTCATTACCCCAACCCTGGCCTCCCCCAGCATGGGAGCCCCTGGAAGGGATGGAGTGTGCGGTGGCGTGGGGTGCGGGTAGGGGGCGGCTTCCTGCCGGTCACTCTGCAGGCTGCCTAGATGCCCCCATGGGTTTGGGGTCTCCCATGTTGAGGCTCCTTACACAGGGCCAGGGAGACCATATGAGCTGGGGCTGAGGGCCTGAGACCTGGCGACACTGTGGGGGAGGGGCGCATGCCACTGAGGGGGTCCCCTGTCCTTGTGCCTGAGCCTGTAGGTCTTTCTGGAGATTTTGTGTACATCTGAGTTAAGTCGTATGCGAAAACAGCTCTGAGAATCGTATGTGGGGAGGTGGCAGTGGGCTGTGGGCTGTAGGTGCTGGGAGGCAGGGTGGGGGTGTGTGTGTGTGTGTGTGTGTGTGTGTGTGTGGCTTGTGGGTCTGGTGTGTGGGTGTTTTTTAGGAGTGTGACTGGGGTATAAGCATCTAGGTGTGTTTGGAATATGTGGTCTGCATTTGCATCTGGGGGTGAAATCTGTGTACCTGCGGAGTGACTCTGGGCACGTGCCTGTACTTGGGATGTAAATGCAGGTGTGTGTGGGGAGGGGGCTCCGGAGGGACGGTGTGAGTATGGGGTGTTTGAGAATCTGTGTGTGTCTTTGGGATGTGAGAATGGGGGGAGTGTTCCAGTCGTGAGGGTGTGTATGGGTGTGTGTGCATGCACTTGTGTGTGTCTGGGACACGGGTGTGAGATTGAAAGTATGGGGGTGCTCATGTATGTGAGTTCTGGGGCTGTGAGTATCAAGGTGCGTGTATGTTGAATGTGAGTGGATTTTTGCACTAGGACCACTGGGGATGTGGAGGTGGTCCAGGCTGGTGGGAGAGTGGTCTGTACTTCTCTACCCAGCCGCCAGCCCTCAGGTTTTGGGGTGAGGCAGGCTCTTTGGGCAGACCGGCAGCTGCCCACATCCCCAGTCCCCCTTGACCCCCCCATCCTCTCAGTCTTCCTCGGCCACCCTTCCCCCATCACCGCTACCCCCCACCAGTCCCACAGCAGGGTGGCAACCCCATCCCTCTGTGCCTCCTCCCAGCCCACCCTGTGCCCCAACGCCCTGGCTCCAGGCTCCGGTTCTGGGATGGCAGGCAGGGGTCGGTCCAGCTCTCCAGTGGCGGCGGCGCCGAGGGTCTAACCCAGCCCAGCCTAACCAATGTGCAGACTACTGTACAATTTGGGAGTCCTGAACAGATAGTCTAAACACTGGGTAGACGGAGTGGAGGTGTCCTCTGGTCCATCCAGGCAGCAGTGTCTGTCCATCCGGTGGGCGCTTCAGCCCCATCCCCTGGAGATCCAAGAACCCCCCAACCCCAGCCTGTGTCCCCCCAGCCCCAGACCAGCCAGCCCGTGGTCCCCTCTCTGCTCCCAACTCCCCTTCTGCCTCCTTTGACGTGGCAGGGGTGAGCGGGAGCTGGGGCTGAGAAGGAGGGGCCTGAGGAGGGGGCCGGCCGGCAGGAAGGGAGGGGTGGGGGGAGGAGGCCGCTCCTACCTAGTGTCCAACCCCGAAGCGCAGGGCGGGTGGCGGCGGGGCCTCTCTCGAACGGTTCCAGATGTTCCCTGGCCGTGTGTGCAACTTCCTCCTCTCCTCCCCCAGCCGCCCTCTGGGGCTCCCGGCCACCCGCCTGGCATAAAGAGGGCTTTATGTGGCTGCATGGGCCAGGGGGGCGTGGGGGGCAGAGAGGGGTGGGCAGGATGACGCCAGGACAGGGGAGCAAGGTCTCCCTAAACCCAGCCCCCTACCTGAGATCCTAGGCAAGGCTCATGCCCAAGCTCTTTGAGTCCCCGAAGCCCACACACACGACCCCCGTGAGCAAGTAGGGCATGGGTGACAAAAACCCCTCCCCTCTCCCAGAGCCCCATCCTGGGGTGTCTCCTCCCCAGATCCCTGAACCCCTCTCCTGGGACACAGCAGCCTACATACACACGTGCCCACACCAAGCATACACATGGGCCTAGCACCCTACACGCCTGTGCGCAGAGACACAGAACTCCTCCTAGACAGCTCTAGATAAACCAAACACACAGCCCATTGTACCACAGTGTGCAGGTAAGATGTGCACCCCAGTATAAGCGTGTGGTATAAGCTTGTGCATGGCTGTGCAAACGTAGTAGGCTTGCACAATTGCCACACACATCCACAAAGTGAGCACACATCCACACTGAGATGCAGACACGCTCACACTGACACGTGGTTCATGCTGGGCACCTCCCCAGATACACATGTGCACACACACAATAGGTAATATGTACTTGGGCTTGCATGTGTTGGCACAAACACACAACTACACACATGTTGCACACACAGGCACACCATCTCCAGGCTTGTGCTGGCTGCCTTATTGCTAACACATGGGGAGCTTGGGGGAGTGGGCTGAGCCAGCCCTTTGAAGCCGCCGGGGCTGGTGGCCCCCCTTCCTGGTCTCTGCAGTCAGGAAATGAAGTCAGAGGCGGCCAGGCCGGGGGCGAGAGAGGCCTGAGTGTGCGGTCCCTGCCTGAGGCCGTCCTGGCTTGTATCCAGGACTTGCCTGGGGAGGGATTGTGGGAGCCTCCCACACTCTCACCTCCCCACCCCTCACCAGCCTCCTGGCCTCCGGCATATATGCAGAGCTGGTGGGACCGGCTAGAACTCCACTGGGGGCCGGTGGTGCCCAGGAGGCCTACGGTCCTGTGGCCAGGATTTTATCTAGCTGCACCTTCACAGTGGGAGGGCGCTGATGCTTAGAAGCCCTGGGCCAGTCAGGGGGACTCTTAGGGAGTGAGGTGTGGCAGAGAACAGTGCCAACCTCACTCATTGCTCCTACCTCCACCCACAGGAGAAAGAGAAGAAATACATGCTCTCTGTGGACAACCTCAAGCTGCGGGACGTGGAGAAGGGCTTCATGTCGAGCAAGCACATCTTTGCCCTCTTTAACACGGAGCAGAGGTGCCTGCCTGCCCCTGGCTGTAGCTGCTGCAGCCCCAAAACCACCCGCACTGAGTAGAAGCTGGGTACAGGGATCCAGGGAGGAGAGGCACCTGCCCCAGGCCCCACAGCAAGCAATCCACTGACAGATGCTTACTGGGTTCCTGCTCTGAGCTAGACATCATGTCAAGATCTCCCATCCCCTCCCCTTCCCTTCCCTCCTCCTTCCCTCCCTCCTTTCCTTCCTCCCTTCCTTCCTTCCATCCTCCCTCCTTTCCTCCCTCCCTTTTTTCTTCCCTCCTTCCTCCCTCCCTCCCTTCCAGTCTCCCCTTCCCTCCCTCCCTCTATCCCTTCCTCCCTTCCATGGTCACTGGTATCTCTTCGTGCACTATACTCTGCCAGGCACTGGAGCCAAAGGGCCCTAGTCAGGCCTGGTCCTCTTCTCCTGCTCACTTTCCTATAGGGCGGTGGCAGGACCAGGCCTCTTCCTTCCTGAGCCAAGGCTGACTCTAGTGGGCCCTCTGCTACTCAGAGATGAGGGTTCAGTCCAGCTGCCATCAGAGGGGTCCTCAGAGAGCCACAGAGGAAGCTGGTGGGGTCTGGGCCCCAAGCTAGAGACTTCACTGAGTGTGGTTGTCCCCTTATCAAAGGTCCAGTCCCCTTCTAAGCATTTTGCCACTCACTTCACTGAATCCTCAGTGACCCGAGGCGGCAGGAATTCTTATTAACCCATCTTCCCAATGAGGAAACTGAGGCTGAGAGAGAGGAAGGGACTTGCACAGGTCACACAGCTGGGAAATGAGCTGGCCTCAGGCATGGTGACCCCAAAGTCTGGGCATGCCCTTAACCCCCAGGGAGGGTGGGGCTTTGCCCATCTGCCCTCACCATCCGCCCTGTCTTGCAGGAATGTCTACAAGGATTATCGGCAGCTGGAGCTGGCCTGTGAGACACAGGAGGAGGTGGACAGCTGGAAGGCCTCCTTCCTGAGGGCTGGCGTATACCCTGAGCGTGTTGGGGTGAGTGGCAGGGCAAGGAGAGGAGGGGCAAGCATGATCCTAGGGCCCCTGGGGCACCATCCTCAGTGATGCCAAGTCACGTCATGTTTCCGAGCCCTTATTTGGCTCAGAAATAATAGGAATCCTTCCCCCTACCCACTCTGGGGGTGGGAACAGAGATAAGTTTCCTGGTCCTCCCATCCGTCTCCAGTGGCAGTTTCACGTCTCTGTCTCTGTTGCAGATGGCATTTCTATATTCCCCTTTCTATGAAGGTGGTTTCTTGTGACTGCCTTCTCTTTCCTCCCCTATTTCACTGTGGCAATGTCTAGAGTAGCCTGAGAGTTGGGGTGCAGTGTCCCCAGGTTCACTCAATCTCTCCCCTTTTCCTCTCTGTATGTTTCCTTCGGCTGTGCTCCCTGGTGGTGGCGGTGGTGACAATGTTGGTGTGTGGGCCTCCCAGGACAAAGAGAAAGTGAGTGTGCCCTTCTCTTGCCTCCTGTCAGGCATCTGCAGCCTGGTACCAGCTCCAGCCAGGTTTTCCAGCAAGGGACCTGGAGATGTTCTTTTCTAATTTCTGGATTGGGGCCAGGCGCAGTGGCTCACGCCTGTAAACCCAACACTTTGGGAGGCCGAGGTGGGCCGATCATGAGGTCAGGAGTTCGAGACCAGCCTGGCAACACGGTGAAACCCCATCTCTACTAAAAATAACAAAAGTTAGCCAGGCATGGTGGTGCGCACCTGTAATCCCAGCTACTCAGGAGGCTGAGGCAGGACAATCGCTTGAACCCGGAAGGCAGAGGATGCAATGAACCAAGACAGCACCACTGCCCTCCAGCCTGGGCGACAGAGCAAGACTCTCTCAAAATAATAATAATAATAATTTCTGGATTGGGAAATTGAGGCAAATTCTAGGCACTAGAGTCAGAACCAAGACAAGGCTGAATCAGGGGAGTCTAGGGTCCTGAGAGGCACAGGGATGGAGAGCCTGGTGTGTGTTCAGGCCAGTTGCTTCTCTCTGTGCCTCAATGTTCTGGGTACCTTTGGAGGGGCTGAGATCCTGGCGATGCCTGGAGCCTGGCTGCGTGGCCTGGCCACCCTGATGCCCTTGTGTTCTCCATGGCAGGCCAGCGAGACCGAGGAGAATGGCTCCGACAGCTTCATGCATTCCATGGACCCACAGCTGGAACGGCAAGTGGAGACCATCCGGAATCTTGTGGACTCGTACATGGCCATTGTCAACAAGACCGTGCGGGACCTCATGCCCAAAACCATCATGCACCTCATGATTAACAATGTGCGTGCTCCGCCGCATGGGGGCAGGGAAGTCCTGTGGCACTGGGGACGCAGGTGGCCATGTTGGCCTGGGGGAGATGCCAACCAGCCCTATGGGACCAGGTCCAGGGTGGCAGGCACGGTCCAGACCAGAGCTGTCCGATAGAAATATAATGAGGGTCTGAGCACAGTGGCTCACACCTGGAATCCCGGCACTGTGGGAGGTCAAGGCAGGCGGAACACTTGAGGTCAGGGGTTCAAGACCAGCCTGGCCAACATGGTGAAACCCCGTCTCTACTAAAAATAGAAAAATTAGCTAGGTGCGGTAGCGTGAGCCTGTAATCACAGCTACCTGGGAGGCTGAGACAGGAGAATCACTTGAACCCGGGAGGTGGAGGTTGCAGTGGGCGGAGGTTGCAGTGAGCTGAGATCCTGCCACTGTACTCCAGCCTGGCCGACAGAGCGAGATTCCATCTCAAAAAAAAGAAAAAAGAAAAAAGAGAAAAGAAAGAAATATAATGAGGGGCTGGGCACGGTGGCTCATAACTGTAATCCCAGCACTTTGGGAGGCCAAGGCAGGAGGATCACTTGAGCCCAGGAGTTCAAGACCAGCTTGGGCAACACAGTGAGACCTCGTCTCTACACAGAAATTTTAAAGAATAGCTGGGGTTGGCTGGGCGCGGTGGCTCATGCCTGTAATCCCAGCACTTTGGGAGGCCAAGGTGGGCAGATCACCTGAGGTTGGAAGTTTGAGACCAGCCTGACCAACATGGAGAAACCCCATCTCTATTAAAAATACAAAATTAGGCCGGGTGCGGTGGCTCACGCTTGTAATCCCAGCACTTTGGGAGGCCGAGGCAGGTGGATCACCTGAGGTCGGGAGTTCAAGACCAGCCTGACCAACATGGAGAAACCCCGTCTCTACTAAAAATACAAAAAATTAGCCGGAGTGGTGGCACATGCCTGTAATCC